GGAGATTCCTAGGACCAACAACGAATGAGTTTGTCCTAATAAGTAGGGCGAGTTGAGGATGGTCCCTCAGGGAATTAAGCAGCTTGCCACTCACTGCTACTTTAGTCATCAGCTCCCACAGACCAATCGCCTAACCACCATCTCATCGTTCAAACTCAGCAACAGGAAGACTCTCACCTAAGGCGCCTTACTAAACCTACAAATGCTGACCACTACATCTAATCTCGACTTTTTCAATATACTCGCCTGTTCTCTCACGATGGTCTGAGACTTAGCATGAGATGACATTAATTCCTAACCAGTCTTGTCACTACAAAGTTTGAATTTCTGAAAAGTATTTTAAAATGAAAATTTAAATTTCTGTTTGAACTAGAGCGCTTTCGCGTTATACTTTGGAGCGTTGTGACGCTAAGCTTGAGAGTACAATAACGGCAAAAATTGCCGCTATGCCGTTCGAGTCTTTGTTCTGCAGTAATTCTGAATTTAACATATGTCACAACAGTGTTGAGTCGGAGCACTACAACACTAGGCCACTAATAATATTTTTTAATATATTTTATTATAAAAATTTCTTCCACCCTCCTCCCTCCCCCCCTCACTTCGTTACTTGGCCAGGAAGAAATGGGAGAAGGTAAGGAATATATTGATGAATATAAATGCATTTATATTTATTTCTTCGGTTTATATGAATTTGTAAGACGTGATTACTGGTTATAAAGAATGATACAATTATATCAAATTTTGATTTTGGGATGTGACATAGAGTCCGTTTAACTCTGTGCGAGCTCACACATATGCTAGTTCTCACGAATTAAGCTCACCTCCTACACTACTCACCAATGCTCACACGACACAACCTCACTTGCCCGAAGATTAATCCTCCATCCCAACTATAATAACCAAAACTCTTAACTATTGAGATATTGTCCGCTTTGGTCTGATAACCTCACAATTTTATCATGTTGGTATAATTTTCCAGGGGGTCACCCATTCTAGGATTTCTCCGATATGAGCAAACTTAACTAATTATGGAGTTTCATAGATGGAATTTTAACCATTACACTAAAAGGCGCATCGATGTTTAAGAGTTTATCTTCTTTTATTTAAGGGGTTTCACAATCTCTCCAACTTAAGTAACTAATGTCCTTGTCAGTACCCTATTCTAGAATCATCCACAATGAGGATAGAATTCAAGTGGTGGTCTTTATAAGTTCAAGTGGTGACTCCCACCACGTAGCACTTTGTTCCATACAGGGTTCAAGAGGTGGCTCCCATGATGTATCACATTATCTTTTGTTTGACACTTAACTCCCATCTTTCCAGCTTGTGTATTGTTTTGATACCATTTGTAATAGTCCAAATTCTTAAATATCGACATATTGTTCGTTTTGGCCAAAGGGCCTCACGATTTTATCATATTGGTGTAACTTCCTAAGAGGTCACACATTCTAATATTTCTTCATAATGAGCACGCCTAACTATAAAGTTTCTTAAATAAAATTCTAATTATTACACCAAATGGCACATCGATGTTTAAGAGTTTTAATTTCTTTTACTTAAGGGGTTTCATACCAACTCTCCCACCAATTAGAGGGTGAGACATATATAAACTGTGGTGTAGTATTGTACATGTAATCTATGTAGCTTTATCAATTATATGTTTTTTTTTTTTTTTTTTTTTTTTTTTTTTTTTTTAAATATATAGCCTTTTTTTGTAGCCTCTGCACAGCCTCTCTAAGAATTTGTGGTATTCGGGGGGGCCAGCGGCGGGGACTTAGGGGTTAGATGAGCGCGAAGGCACGGCTTCGCGGCGGCCGCGGCCGGTCTCAGGTCAAACATATTTATAAGGTATCTCGCGAGCGAGCCGAGCTTATCGAGCTCATTGCAGCAGCTCGGCGAGCTTTTGTAACGAGCTCGAGTTCGAGCTGGTTGACGGGATTGAGCCGATATTGAGCTGTTCGGGACAGAACTCGCTCGGAGCCGGCGGTTCGACTATAATGTTATTTTTGTTTAAAATAATATTCACTAACAGGTTTATTAAAAAATATTTTACAAAATCAATAGCAATAAATGGCTAATAAATGAAACAACTTTTTTATATTATAAAATATATAATCTTTTTTTTACAAAGAAATAATATTTTAGTCCATATTAAGCTGTGAAAGCAAAGCTCTTTTTCTTATTTCTAATTAATTTGCTAAGATTGGCGTTGGGCTGCGTCACTGTGCAGACTCTGCTCCATGCACTTTTGAAACGGGCGGATTGTTCATAAAAATAAATAACAAAGAGAGAAGCGGTTTAAATAAAGCAGAGCGGGAAGTTTAGGAGAAAACTGAAGGCGGTTACTCGCGAGCCGCTCTGATAAGCTGATTAGTGTTGCGTTCAGAGTTTTCGAGCTCTTTTTGAAGCCGAGCTCGAGTATCGAGCTGGTATTGAACTATGCGAGTCGAGCTCGAACACCCTGCTCCGAGCTCGAACCGACTCGTTAACACCTAGCGGGGGCACGTGCCCCCCCTAAAAAAATGTCGGAGCTCAATTTAGAGCTTATGTTGCTTGTCTCGTCGTCATTCCCTGAACACTCAGCCTCTTCTTTCATGGCTGCTTCATCAATGTACTTCATAGTTCTCCTTCAATCTTATTTTCTTGCTTTTTCTCTGTTTGCGATTTTCTTATCCCGTGACATGCACGGTTGCGATGCGTCGATAATTGTGGCGTCAACGACGAACAATAAGGTGGAAAAGGATAATTCGAACAATCCCTCCCTCGCCGGCAATGGTTTTGAGACTGTCATCAAGGCTAGTGTTGCCGTCGATGCCATCACCTAATGCCGAAACAAGGTCTCTTGCGCTAATATCCTCTTCATTGCCACCTCGCACCCGTGATGTCATCTCTTTTTGTTCGATTCTGTTTTGATTTTCAACTTCTGCTCCGATTTCTGTTTCGTGCCCAACAAAAGAGTTTGGCTTAGCTTGTACTTGCACAGCTTTTGCTAAATCAACTGTGATGATTTTGGAGCAAAATAATTAGAAAAAAATCCAAAATTTTGATATATTTTGAGTAGATTTTACTAAAATAGTCAATTAGGATGGATGATTTTCTTTTGTGGAAAATAAATTTAGGCCCCCGCTGAAAAATTTTTCTGGCTCCGCCACTGCCTCTAAGTAAGAGGTGATGGGAATAATCCAATAGACACAAATAAATTTTCAAGAGAATACTAAAGAGCTACTAAAACATCAAGACTAATAAAATAAACTCATATACAAAAGTTTTTTTATTTCATTATCAAAATGTTTACATACAATTATTTTACATGGCTATAAACAAAAGCTAAAGAACTGCTTAATAAAACTAGACATAATTGTGAAAAAAAAATAATAAAAGAAGTACTTATTGACTCAGACCGAATCTTGAACAACTAATTAAGTACTAGATTCTACCCTTTTCCATACCACAAAAATAGAGAATGTAAAACTGTAGTGAGCTAAAACAATTCAACATGCCATAAACATCGATCTAAATTTTTAAATAAAATTTTAATTAAACAATTTCTAAAATATTTACATGCAGTATAATTAATCATTATGCTGAGTAAAGTAATATGATAGTGACAGTCATACAAGATTCAAATAATACATTGAGCAATCAAATAAACTAAAATTCATATTACATAAGATAGCATAACATATTTTTTAGTCCAAAATAGAATCTCACAGGATTTTGGCACATTATGACACCCATTGTGCTTATAGCACCATAACATGACCGTGTGCACAAAAACTTGATATTTTACTACAAAGACACGCTCGTATCTAGCCACAAAAATATGCTCATACATACGAGAATATCTTATTCTTTCATAATAATTTTTTCAAAACTTTTCTATTCAACTAATAAAGAACATAACTCAATAACATGACCATAAATTTCATCAAATTATAGCAATTAAAGTATATTTGAACATATAATATAATTGTACAATTTTCTATAATAGTTGGCAATAGAAATCTCTACCGAGTAAAAATTTATAATTTTAAAATATAACCGAATTATCAGAGATTGTAAAAAATATTATTTTAAAATTTTAATCAAATTGCAATACTATTTTTCAGAATCTATATTATTTTCTATTCAACATACTTTTCAAAACTTTAAATATAAAATTTTAAGAAAATATTTAAAATATTCATAATCACAATTTTCAAAACTCCCGGTATCACGTTCAAACAAGGTTCAAATCATGCTAGAAATATGTTCCAATCTTATTTGAAGATTATTTGAATCATGTTCGAACCTTATTCGAATCATGTTTAAACCTTATTAAAATCATGTTAAATCATATTCAAAATGTATTCAAACCTTTCTCGAATATTGATATATAGAACCATCTTCAAATATTATTCGAACATTCTTCAAAGTATTATTTGACTCCTGTTAAATCTTATTTGAATCATACTCTAACATTCTTCAAACACTATTTGAATAATATTTTATGTCTTATTCATTGCAAGTTTCGAAGAAGGTTCTTCTATGTTTGATGTTTAATGTCAATATTGGACTAGGATTTCAACCAATATTTTTTTGAACTTTATTACTATAACAACAAATATAATTTGATTTGTAGTGAACTTTTAAAATATGTTTTTCTTAAAAAATAAACATGTATTTATTATCCAATTTAAAATAAAATGAGGCACATATATTTTTCTTTTTTCTTTACAAGCCCTAACATAAATTAATAAAATTATAGTTTAGAATCTTGCGATTAAAGCTTCCTTTGCGACGACTTTCTTACTGCTTCTTAAAATAATTTTTATTACAAAAAATTTAATTTTTTATTTGAAAGTAGCTTTAAAAAGCAATAATAAAGTCATCTTAATTGAGATAATTTTTTTTGTTGATTTTTAAAGCAATATTCTCGTATAAATTTTTTAATTTTTTTATCAAAAGACTGTTTTATGGAAAAAAAAAAAATAACTAATGAGTGGTGTAGCTTAACAAGTTTCTTTCAATTGAACTAAAGGAGATTATTTCTTACCGGCGGGGGCCTTAATTCGTGCTTCCTGTGGATTTCTGCTTCCCGATCTCTTCCAACATGGATCTTCGCGGCTTGGCTAAGTTAGCTCTGTTGATTTCTGTGTGGCTTAGTTCTTTTGAAGCTAGGGTTTGTACCATTTCGATCCCATACTGTTCCTAATCGGCCGGTAAACTCCAGAATTGCAATGCAAGCATCATTTTCTTAAATTTCTTGTTGGTTTGATTCTCATTTCAGGAAGAGAGCAGTAGTCTCTCGGTCATCTTTTTTGACTCACCATCCCACTCATACATCCGTCAGCAACCATTGGGGATCACAGGCGAGGTATGTACATCGATGGCTTTCTGTTTATCTCTAACATGGTATTTTGTTTTTGAATTAAAGCTTGAGATACTTTACCCTTAAAGGTATGGAATTCATGTGTTAGATTTGGGCAAAATCTGATCTTTAGTCTGCAGTTGTAAAAGTGGAACTTCGAAGTAACTCGGATCTTGGGCATGTAATGATTATTGTGTATTAACTCGTGCTGGAAATTTCGAAAAAAAAAAAGTAGTGCCAGAATGGCAGGGCACCATGTATTAGGCGTTTTTTTGGGTGTCTTTTGTGTTTTCATCTTTTAGAAGTTCATATTTTGGTTTCTTAATCTTTATCCTCTTGTGCTTTTATTGGATTCAAAATTGTTTGGTGGAAACCCGAAAAGTTGAATCGTTCTTGAAACTACTAGGTTTTCACACTTCATATCCAAAAGTAAGGTCGTATATCTCGGCAACAGTGAATGTGATGAAGGGATATGAAAACCTATTTTGTACTCGTAAAATAAAGTTGATATATTTGTTGTTTAAATAGAGCATACCAGACTAAGCAATGAAAAATAAACTAAGATTTCATTTTATTACTATAAATCATAATGAGAGTACATCTATGAAAGTATGAAGTGAGAACAACAATAAATGAAAAAAGAAACAAAGAAACAACTGTAAAAATAAAACTAGCCAATTCTAACATGAAATAGAAATAAGCTACCGAAAAAAAATTAAAATATCAAATGAGATCCTGCTGTTGATAAGTTGGCTCTTGAGATAATGAACAGACCATCAAACACTCTGGTAGAATCTGCTATGATAAAGGTTAACAACAAGTGAATTTGACAATTAAAATCCAGCAAGTGACTATTATTTATTAAAGCATAAACAACAAGAGATGTGGCATATAATATAAACATTAGAAGGGCACGAGTAACTATATAACAACAGGTAATTAGTATCATCTTATAATGAGGTTATGATAATATTTTCCAATGTATAAATGAAAAATAGCGCATGTCTTAAGGCTTGTACTAATATGGTAATTATGTTCTTGATTAGCATGTACGGCAACTATGATAAATACAAATTCTTTCTAATACATCCATATACAACCTTAATAGATATAATCATACCTCTCAAAATATGACTCATCATTCATTTATCATTTCAATTTATATATATTTACATATCTATGATTGATTTTATCAAGACATCCTGAACTGGGAAGGTAAATATCAACTTAAGGAAATTCAATGATTTTTCATAGAGGTTGCATATGGATGTATAGAGGTTTCAAATGGATGAGTACACAGATGTACTTGGGCTTCATGTTTTTTGTTATAAAGCTTAAATACAAAATTACTCATAAGTTTTTAAGTGCTTATAAATAGAATAATATGAGGCATGTAAAGGAAATGAAAAAAAAATTATTCAGGTTTCTTATAATTATACGCCACTGTTGACTTAAACATGCTAGATTAATTAACCTTTATAGTTGATGATTGTGCTGTAACTTTCAGTCATGCTGCATACTTCTTATATTTGAATTTTCATCTATAGGTATTATCATTGTTAGCCTAATCATTCTTTCATCACAGACAAATTCTATTTTATTGGATGAAGTTGCTGCAGCTATATCTGTTTTACTTGGTTTGGCACCACCCTTACTTCCAGTTGAATCATCTTCTAAGGTTTGTTCTATGAGCAATATCTTGTTAGATGCAATGGTTTAGTAAACTCTCCTGAGTTCTAAACTCTAATGTTCTGGTTGTGTTTACCATAGTTAAATGAGATGCTTCTCCCCAATCCATTTGAGAGGCCATCTACCGTTTTTCTGCTAGAAGTGGGTGGAATGGATGGTCAGTATCTACAAAGTTGCATAGTTTCAAACAAGGGGCATTTTCCATTGATTGATTGCTTTTGAAATTCTGTAATTTGCCCTCAGGTCTTTTTCTTTCTACCCGTAGCTCTGATTTCAAGGTGGGCAACTCTTTTAGCAGTATTGTTCTTCAATCAAAGAAGGCTAAAATTCACGTTCCAGGTTTGAACTTTATGGTATTTCTATTTTTTCGGAACATAAGCTCCAGCTGGTTTCTCATTTAATTTGCAATTTTAAAGTTTAGCTAAGTTGCCTAAACTCTTGGAAATTGTATGTGGTGCAGGTGAGGAAGATGTTTTTGTTGTTGATGTAGATGAAAATGCATGTGCTGAAGATGATGATTCTTGTGTTGATAAAGAGCTATTCGAACTTGTGAGTTAACTATCATCTTTCACTTGGTTATAACAATATTTTTTGTTTTTATTTTTTTTTTTCTGTGTATGATTGTTTGTTTGGTGAATCTTCGTTTGCCTTTCGAAAAATTTCTGATGTTTTGTGCAGGCAAAGTGGTTTGGAGGGTCATATACAGGAAGCTTGAAATCGCAAGATGGAAAGTTGACCATTCCATTGTCCACGGGTAGCTCTTTAGATCTGGATGTTGCTAAGGTAAAATTTCTTCCATTCTCAATCACTCTAACACAAGTAGTTTATATGTGCACACTTTTACGTGCATGTGAACATGCAATTTTCCATAATTTAGTCAGGTTGGTTTCATGAAGAATCCACACGTTTCTTGTATAAGTACATTTGTTAAACCATCAATCTCTATTTAAGACATGCAAATCAAACATGCACTTAAATACTCTTGCGTCCCTGATAGCTGTCCATTTGTAAATAGTACACCACACTTGATATGAATGCCTTTAGTTGATGGAAATATGCCTGCCCGCATTAGGCCACATGTTTATACCTACCACTCAAGCCGCTAGCAAGCCCCACTTTTAACAGCAACCATCAAATACGACATTTTGCTGGGGATGCCATACCGTTTTATAGGGTTAATTTTTTAAATTTATCTTTTTATTTAATTATTTATGAATTCTTAGATATTTTGTTGAACTTTTATATGAGCTTATGATGTTCAAAAACTTCTAGAGTTGAACAGGCAGAAGTATTATGATCATCAGCATTAGCCTTATCTAAACTTTTGGGTCGGCTTCATGACTTCCCATTTTCCATTTATTCCCATGGAGTGCTACATGAGATGTTAAACTTATTTTTTATAAATTTTCTTGAACAACTTCTATCCATGTTATCTTAGGTCTTCCCTTACCCTTCTTAATTCTAGCACTAGTTTTATCCATTCGTCTAAAGATATATTTTTCACCTTCGTTGTAGATTCCAAATCACTTGACTACTTAATTTTATTTTCTTCTCCCTTATCTTTAATAGATGTTATTTCGATCGTTCCTCTTATAGAATCATTTATCCTTCATAGTTTTTTCATACACATCCAACTTTAACATTCTCAATTTTTTAGCTCAACTCCAACTTTAACATTCTCATTTTTTTAGCTCAACTTGGTTGTCATCGACTTATTTACTACCTAATACTCTAATTTATACAATATAGCTTGGTTAATTATAGACTTATTGCTTATAAAATTTGCCTTTTAAGTTTTAAGTCTTGATAAAATTCTCTTACTGCATAATATTTCTGAGGTATTATTCATTTTAACCATTTAATCTTAACTTTTATTGTTATATCCTATTCATCTATATAGTAGATCTGAGACAATTAATCTACATAATTAAGTATTACTTTATCTTCTAATAATTATTATTGATAAACCGGACACAATGGCGAAAAAGGATTTATGTAGCCGACCCCACGTAGTGGGACAAAGGCTTGATGTTGTTGTTGTTGTTAATATCTCACCAACTAATATTGCATATTGTATAATTCGTCTGTGTTTTGTTAATCACGTAAACATTTCTTGTACGTGTATATTTTAATTTTCTAGTTATTTTAGCATATATCTCATGGATTAGAACCATGATACTTTCAAAAGCATGCACCAATAAACCTTATTTGAATATCCTTCTCCATAACCAATGCAAATGATTTATGTTTATTTCTAATACTTGATGTAGTCATATTATAATTGAAAATTTTTGTCACTCCACAACTACTTTTTACTAATCAATGCCCTCTACTATAAATCCTTAATAACTTTAGCATTCCTTTCATATACTTTTTTTGTTAGCGTGCACCAAATTAACTCGCCTGATATTCAATCATATGTTTTCTCCAGATTGATAAAACATATGAAGATATTTTATTTGCTCATTTTAATTTTTTGTTAATTGTTTTAACATAAATTTTGCTTACAGCAATAAAAACAACAACATCAAGCCTTTATACCACTATGTGGGGTCGGCAACATGAATCATTTTTCTCCATTGTGTCCTCTTAAGAGTTAAATTTTCATTCAAATCTAATAAACAAAGGTCATTTCAAATTCTCCATTAATCAGTAATAACTTTCTCTTATAGTTTTAATATATGACACATTAACTTAATTCCTCTATAATTCGCACACTCTTTTGCATTATTTTAATTCTTAAAAATAGGAACCAACACACTCTTTCTCCACTCATCGGACATCTTCTTAGTCTTCAAAATAATATTAAAAAGTTTCAGAAGCCAAGAAATTCCTTCATCTCCTAAATATTTCCACACATCTATTGGAATATTATTAGGTCCAACAGCTTTTACGCTCTTCATTTTCTTTAAAACCTCGCTAATTTCGATTTTTCTAATAGACGTTAAAAAACAAAAATCTCTATTTTGCTTCTATAAAGATTTTTTTAGCTTGAAATCAAATTAATTTTATGTTATTAATGTAGTTTTTTTTAATAGCTGACCCCATGTAGTGGGATAAAGGCTTGATGTTGTTGTTGTTAAACGTGTTTTTTTTAATGTCTATGTTCCATTGCTTCTCATAACTTTAATGTATGACTATTTTTTTATTACTATAATATTGATCTTCTCCTTTATTCTTAAATATTGGTGTCAAAATACTTGTTCAATCATTTATCATCTATTAGTAAAAAAAAAAAATCTATTAGTCTTCAAAATTTCATTGAAAAGATTTATTAACCAACCTATTGCATTGTTGCCCCTATCAACAAATTTCAATAGGCGTCTCATCTAGATATTTTTTTGCATTTTCTTTTGAGTTAGTTCTACTTCATTTTCTTAGAACAATCTATAAAATACCTTACTATTTTATTTATTCTCTCTTTTAAAATAATTTATTCTTTAAATCTTCTATTTAATAATTTCTCAAAGTGATTTTTTTATCTTTTGTTAATATCTTCATTTTTAATTATATGATCTTATCATCTTCATTTTAATTTGTCTAACACAGTTTAAAATTGCGCAATCTGAGGCGCGCCTTTGCGCAATTTGCTTCAAAATAGCCTTAAAGCCTACGCAATTCTTAGTCATCATGAGGCGTACGCCTTAGGTGGAGTGAGGCGGGCCTCACTAGCGTTATTGCGCAATTTCCTTTGAGGCGTACGCCTCAAATATGGGGCCCACTTACTTAAAAAACCTCTTAAATTCTTCCTTATACCCACTTACTCTTCCAAAGACCCACTTACCTAACCAAAGACGTCAATTGAAGCCACGCAGGAAGCACGCAGACGCCCGATTCGGCTCTCCCGAACATTTCCGCCACCTCTCTTGCCGGCGCCGTCTCTCGCCGGTGAGTCATTTGTTTCCGGCCTCCCCTATACATCACTTCTTCAAGTGTTCTTAAGGTTCTTTTTAAGTTTAGGGTTTGATTTTTCAACTTATAGGAAAGTTAGGGTCATAGTTCTCGGTATCGCTAGGTACATACTCGGTACCGCTATTGACATGCTCGGTATCGTTATGTACATGCTCGATACCGCTATGTACATGCTCGGTACCGCTATGTACATGCTCGGTACCGCTTAGTACATGCTCGGTACCGCTCAGCATATGCTCGGTACCTCTAAGTATATGCTCGGTACAGCTAGGTATTTGCTCGGTACTGCTAGGTACATGCTCGGTACCGCTCAGTACCGCTAGGTACATGCTCGGTACTGCTAGGTACATGCTCAGTACTGCTAGGTACATGCTCGGTATCACTCTGTATCTTCCCATACAAACAACTTACGAACTTTAAAAACAAACATAAATTCAAAATTACTCTTACTATAAAATTTTGTTCCGGGCAGGTCAAACCCTGTCAGGGGGCAGCGCCCCCTTGGACCCCCGGCAGTCCGACATATTTTCTATTCATCATCTTTAGTAATAGTTGTTAGTGTTAGTCTACTTCTTCATATTCATGCTTATTATTTTATGTTTTTGTGTTTTATTTTGCATTTGTGTTTTAGGAAATATGGTTAGGGGCAAGGAAATGACAAACACGTCATTGCGGCGTGACCCTTCTTGGAAATACAGTGTGCAAGTTGATGTAGGAGGCAGTAATAAAACATATGTGTATTTAAAATGTAATTTTTGTGATAAGGTGGTGAAGGGAGGAGTAACTCGCATGAAGGAACACTTATTCGGCTCACATAAGAATGTAGTACCTTGTGCGAATGTTCCGGATAAGGTGAAGGAGGAAATTACAGCTTATATGAAAAAGAGTACAACGGCCAAACATTTACAACAGGAGCAATTTGATGAAAGGATCGAACATGGTGCTTACTTTGGGAGCGAGAGTGCAAATCTTCAAACCCAGAGGTGAAGCTTGGTCTGTATCATTGCATGGAACGACTAATACCGGAGCAGACAGATAGGGAGCTTGCAGATTTACAACTTGTTTTTTTTTTTTTTCGGAATAAAGAGGGTTTTTTCGGTCTGCATGCAACAAAATCAACGATTGCCAAACGATCTCCAGGTATATGTATTTTGGTAAATGCAAGACACTTTATTAAGTTATGATTATCATTTTTCTTCTTGAAAACAGTTGAATGGTGGATCCAAGTTGGTGATTCCACCCCTGAGTTACAAAATTTTGCTGTAAGAGTTTTGGGCCTCACTTGTTCTTTTTATGGGTGTGAGCGAAACTGGAATACATATATATTCAAGTGCAAACAAATAGAAAAAATTGGCTATCAACACTTAGAATGAACTCCCTTATATATATTATGCACAACAAGAGGTTAAGAGATAGGAGGTTGAGGAATAAGGGGTTGAAGGATGATGAAGACCCGTTAGTGTGTGATGATGTGTCATCTGATAATGAGTGGTTCATAGATTATGAGATAGATTTGCCATCAGACTTATAGCTAGAGGATCTAAGTGTGGATGTCTTGAGGGGCGAAGCAGATCAAGTGGACAGATCCACTAGTACCACACCACACACATCCACTAGCTCTGCAGCACAATAATCAAGTAAATGTATTTCACAACTTCTTATATGTTATTGTATTATATTTATATCGAGTGAGCAATTAACATGATAATGAATTAATGATCATTCTTATTGAAGAGGGAAGATAAAAGTGAGTCATATTGAAGATGATGAAGATATGACATTTATAGATACAATTGGAGAAGAAGATTTCCTTGAAGACCCATTTAGTGATGGGATATGATTGGATTTTATATGTTTCTTCTTAATTGTAT